TCATATGCTACTTCCTCAGCCTGTGATGTTCTTCCTCCCTTCCATCCAACAAAATCACGCTGTTTTCACAAGATCTACATCAAAGTGAGTTATGAAAAATTGAACTTGAATCACTTTCTCCCGCCCCAGAAGTCCCAAAACATTTTGTTTATAACTCTGAAATCAGGTTCTTCACATTTGCATTGAAGTGTGTGTTTTCCCTTATCAGACTGGAAATTCTGAGTTGAGAACTTACTCTTTCATCTTATTTCCTCTATAATCTAGTAATTTGCTTGTCACCGAGTAGACTTTATTCAACAAATACAAATTAATTGCATCAAATGCCTAAATTGTTGTGAGAGTCTCTTAAGGAAAATTCTCCCTAAAGGCCCTCCCTGGTGGCGCAGCGGGTTAAAGCACAGCACTGACAAACTAAAGCTGCTTCCACATGAGTTCGATTCCCGCCTGCCCGGGAGGTGACCACATGGTGCTGCAGACCTCTCCTGACCTGCCCGCTGCTCCCCTCAGCAGTGTACTTCGTCCATCTGCCTGTTCTGCTCCCCACTCTGTCTCTGGTGAAGCCTCTCACCGCCCCTGAGCCTCTGGCCTGTACCCCAGTTTTGTATGCACAAATAAATAAATCTTTAAAAAAAATCTCCCTAAAAGTCTGGCATCCCCTTATAATTTTCCTTCTTGTGGGGAGCAGATGAAATTTATTCAATAAAATTTGAGTGCCCGTGGCCCTCTCTGGTGGCACAGCGGGATGGAGCGTAGCACTGCAAGCACTGCAGCCACTCCAGTGTGAATTCAATCCCCACCCCGGAGGTGACCCCATGGCGCGGCAGACCTCTCATGTCCTGCCCGCTGCTCCCCTCAGCAGTGTACTTCATCACTCTGACTGTTCTTCTCCCCACTCTGTCTCTGAATCCTCTCATCACTCTTGCACCCCTGGCCTGTACCCCAGTTCTGTGTGCATAAATAAATAAATCTTTAAAAAAAAAAAGTGAGTGCCCAGTGTGAGATACAGAGCTATCTCCTATCATGTTGCTGCTGTAATCATTTAACATAATCACATAATCATGTAATTATATTATCACAGAATAAAAGCAAATCACATTTAAATATCCAAATCAGCAGCCTTTAGAGCATTTTTAATGTTGTGCATAGTCACTTCTATCTAGTTCCAAAATATTTACATCCTCCCAAAAGCAAACCTCTTTCTATTGTGCTTAAATTAGACCAAGTCTGTGTTCCCCCAGAAGCCAGGCATGTTGTAACAAGGAAAGGGTGGGTCTAGTATCTAAGCACTCAGAGTTACACCTGCCTGTGTGCAGAGATGCTGGCTTGCTTTCCTTGTTTCTGTTACTAAAGACAAAGAAACTTTCTTTTTAGAGTTCTGTTGTTGGCAGAAGAAGGGACATCCCCAAACTCTAAATAGGTTCTGTCATTTGCCACCCAAAGATAAACATACTTTTAGTAAGACTTAAAATAGAAGAGCAATTTAGTAGAATTTGAGTGCAATAAAAAGAAGAGAAGAAAAGATAATCGTTTCTAAACAAACACCCATAGTTGCTCATTCCCTTATGGGCAAAGACAAACCAGGTTGGCCCAGAGGAGAGCCACTGAGGTTCAACAACTTGCCACAGCCAAGGCACCTTCTGGTGGGGACCATAGAAAAGAGAGAGAAGGCGGCAAGGCTGTCTGGAAGGAAAAGAGCAAAGTCAAAATACAAGTCAAGATAAAGGCTGGCGGGCCTCGCTGGTGGCGCAATGGGTTAAAAGTGCAGCACTTGAATTACAATTGTTAAGACATGGAAACAGCCCAAATGCCCAAAAGTGGATGGCTGGATTAAAAAGATGTGGCACATATACACAATGGAATATTACTCAGCAACCAAAAATAAACCCAAACAAACACATGCCTTTTGCAGCAACATGGGTAGAGCTGGAAAAGATCATGCTTAGTGAGATAAGTCAGAAAGAAAAGGAAAAATACCAAATGGTTTCACGCATAGCAGGAGTATAACGGAACAGGCGAGAAAATAATAATAATAATGATAATGAACAGCTATATACCAGAGACATTTTATGGGGTTGGAGTGGGGAATAAGATCGAAAACAGTTGAGAGAGGGAAATGAACTGGACTTTGGTGATGGCACATGGGTGATTTGGTGATGGGAAGCCCAATGGGATTACAACTGAGATAGAAAAATGCACAAAATGATGGAAAAACAAACAATTGAAAAGAAAAAAAAAGCGCAGCACTATGAAGCTATCTGCAACAAGTTCGAGTTCGATCCCTGGCCAGGGAATTGACCCACATGGCTCGACAGACCTCTCCTGTCTCACCCGCTGCTCCCCTCAGCAGTGTGCTTCAGTGGATCTGCCTGTTTTGCTCCCCACTCTGTCTCCGGTGAATCCTCCTACCGCCCCCCCCCTTAGTTCTTATGTACATAAATAAACCTTTAGAGGAAAACAAAAAAAGATAAAGGCTGGTATCAGCCTCCCTATGGGTCTGTCACCCACGTCTTTTTCAAGTGTCTCCCCCATGTCCTGCAAATCCCCTGGTACCAGTCCAAGGCTGAGAAGCAAAGGTGGTTAGGTCTTTTTCACATGTCTCTGCTCAAAGTGCCTCCTGTGTTCTCTCCTTCCAACCTTCTTCTCTTTCGAGTCCTGGTCAGCTTGCCTTAGCAAATTCACCTTGCCTAGGTGGGACAGTGAACCTTGAACCCCCGCCCTTGCCCCCCGTTTCTACAGGGAATCACACTGTTACACTGAGAGGGTCTTGTCTGAGTGTCACAGAGGTTCTAAATTCCTAGCCTGAGGGGATAGCCCCCCAACTTTGGAACAAGGGAAGCCTTGAGTGATCAGAAGAATCACATGGAGGTGGAGAAATGGAGGCTGTATGGCCTTCACTTCACCCTCGCTTCATACTGACTGTGATGGAGCATCAAGGGATGGTTAGACCCCTTTCACCAGTCTTTGTATTCTGGTGTCCTGACACTTCTTTCTCAGCGTGATTAAATGAATAAAATCACAGCTTTACTAAGAAAGAGGAAGTAAACATTGGTTGAGCAGATCCCAAAACACCCTTCAATGATCTAGCAACATAGGTGCTTTGCTTTAATCAACTTCTTTCTTTAAAATTTTTTTTCATTTTAGTTATTTATGCACACAAGAACTGGGGTGCAGGCCAGAGAAGCAGCGTGGTGAGAGGATTCACCAGAGACAGTGGGGAACAGAACAGGCAGATCCACTGAAATACATTGCTGAGGGGACAGGAGAAGACTGCTGTGCCATGTGGACCACCTCCCTGGTGGGCCAGGGAACCAACTCCTGCTGCAGTGGCTGCAGACAGCTGCACAGAGCTGAGACTTCACCCTTGTGACAGCAGGGAGGACCCTCAACTTCTTTCTTTCAGTCATTTGGAAATATGTTCTGCTTTATAGATGAGAGGAGTTGGAGATTGAGAGGAAAGGAACACCGACTAGCATATCGTAGTGTACCTCAAAGAGATTTTCTAAAGAAAACGCTGCCCAGAAGCCTGGCCCACTGTTTACTTCTCCACGCTAATCTACAGCACACACAGGTGGAGATGTTTGTGGTGAGACCCTCTGGGTCCTGCCGTGGGCAGACCATGACACAGACATCCTGCCCAGCCCTGGGAACTGCAGGTTCTCTGCCCTCGGGACATCAAACACAAACATGCGAAAAGTCTCCATGAAACTATATATAAGTTTATTATTTTTCTGAAGGCAACATCAACTTACCCTTCTAAAATTACTCTTCTGAAAATAGATATTTCTGGAAATACATTGCTTGGAAACATAGAGCGTGCAATAATTTGTAAATTTACAGAGCATTTTAAATGGGTTAACCCAATTAGGAGCTGGCAAGATAAGCTTTGTTTCTGGAGGGATTGCAGGTGTCCCCAGGTTTTGTTAAAGTCTTTATTTAATTCTGATTAAGTAAGGCTGGCAGTTAGAACAGAGATTTATCTTAATGGTATGAAATTATTAATTACGTGGTTATTTGATGGTGGTGCTGAGATTTGCCTCATAGGTCACTGGGGCAGCCTTGACAGTCATTTTAGGCCACATCAGCAAGAACTTTTACCTCAGTTCATGACAGCACCGCAACATAATTAAGAGGCAAGGACATGCTTTATTAGGCCTCCTTAGTTTTTGGTTTGGGCGCTAATGTTTATAAACAAATAAAAGACCCCAAATAAGTGTATCTGGAGCAATGTATTTCTTTGAATATTTATCTGCTGTGATTAACATAAAAGCTGTCCATGGGCATATGAAATTTCACAACAGAACTTGAATTTTCAGTACAATGTTTGAATTTTGAATGCCTTGTGCTTTGTGTTTGGAAACCAGACCGCACTAAGGCCTCCATGTCCTTACAACTTGTGATCAACACAAAGAATTTGGCTTCCATCAACAAATAATCCTTTACAATGACAGCATCGAGATCTAGCCTCAGGACTTCACTAACTGCTTCTGTTTACAACTGGCTTCATGGAAATACCATGCTTCAGAGAAGAGCACGCCAAAATTTTCTATATTGTATCCCCAAAAGCTAGAAATTAATGAAAAGTTCCAGTTTCCACAGCCAGATGTAATTATCCAGCTGTCCATCAGCCAATCCTCTGCAATTCCCTTTGGAGATCCCCATTAGTTCAGGGTAGAAGGGAATGGCCTTTCCCTTCCAATATTTTCTGTAACCTCTTTGGTTACAGAACAGAAACTTGCTCAGAATTCTAAGATTTAGTTATCCCTGCAGGTAAACATGGGCTGAGAAAGGACACACCGCAGTATAGGACAGTCGCTGCACTAAACTTGTACATGACCTGAGAAAAAGCTGCTTTCAGGGTAAGAGCCCCACATTCTGCAATGGATTGTCAGTCTTCAATCTTCTCCTTAAATTTGCTGAGACCTGTTACTAAAATACAATTTCAAGTACACTCTTCATTTGGGAAATATGTTCACCCTCTTTTTCTTTGCCACTTCATCTTTTTACAGAGCATCATGGAAATCATGATCTATGGTGGACTGTGTGTATGATGAGCTGGGGGTGTCGGGAGAGTAACTGTGGAGGAGTCTACAGTATTGGCAGAACATAAAGGAGCCCCTGCAGGTTTTGAAGAGATGTATGATGTACTTGCGAAATTTCTGCCCCAGGAAAAAGTAAATGACTGGGTTAAGGCAGCAGTGAACAAAAGCCAGGGTCTCTGTGGCCTGAATGGCATAGTCCAGGTATCTTTCGAAGGTACAGTCCTGAAGAACCCCCAGATGCACTAGGCTCTCCAGGAAGAGTACTATATTGTAGGGTGTCCAGAACCCCAGGAAGAGGACCACCACGGCAAAGATCATCTTCACCGCCTTGTTCTTCTTCTCGTTTTTACAATGCTGCAAGGTCCTGATGATCTTGGAATAGCAAAACAGCATGATCCCGAGGGGGATCACCATTCCTACTATGTTGATCTCCAGGGAGCTCAGAACCTTCAATAGTGTGGCATTGTTGGGGGAGTACTCAGTTCTGCAATAGGTATGATTGCGCTCCGTAATACAAGTGCTGAATAAAAGCCCTGGAAGAGAGGCAAATACAGCCACGGACCAAGTGATCAAGCTAGTGATGACCCCAGAAGTCAAGGTTCTCGCTCTCAAGGAAAGTACAGCGTGCACAATGGCCAGGTATCTGTCGATGCTCATAAGCATGATGAAGAATATGCCACTGTAAAAGCCCACCAAGTAAGCCCAGGAAATCAGTTTGCAGAGACCTATTCCAAAAATCCACTGGTCTGCAGCATAGTAGCCCCAGAAGGGCAGGGAGAACACGAAGAGCAGGTCTGAGATGGCAAGGTTGAGCAGGTACACGTCAGTCATGGACTTGAGCCGCTTGTACTTGAACAAGACCAGAACCACTATGGAATTCCCGAGCAGACCAAACAGAAAGACCAAGATGTAGAGGGGGGGCAGGAAGAGCTCTCCAAATGCCTTGATTCCTTCTTTGGTACAAGGCTTGGGAATATTGGTATCTGAATAGTAACCGTAGTAGGCGTAGGCGCTTTCATCCAGGGTAGTGTCCATTATATCTGTGGTGTTCATTTTCAAGCCTATAGGCTCCTCAAGCCAGGTCTGAGCCCAACCAGAAGACACTAATGAGGGGAAGAGCAAACAAGATTTCTAAGCACAAAAACAGCAAAACAGTGCTGAATGCAGACCCTTCTGCTTAATGTCCTTGCCATACTCCCTATGGAAAAGGACTCGGTTCCTCCCCAGGAGGTGCTGCCATCCAAACGAAATAATCCCACCTTTTGGCATCCAAATTCCAGCTCTGGCACTTCTCTGACCCTCCTGCTGGGAGCTTTAGTCTCTCCTTTGAACATAGGGATAATCAGACCTCCTTTTAAAGAGGTTTTTAATTTATTTTTAAAAGATATGATGTAGTCTAGGGTTAATGAAATCACTTACAGGGAGCACAACACCCACTGATATCCCCAACAACACTGTACCCAGTACTTTTGAAACACAGAAAACAAATGTTTGTACATCTACAAATGTTTCCCCTGCAGACTGTAACTGCATAATTCAGTAACTGCTTACATAACCATTGGGCTAGAAGAAAACCAGATTAGCCACCTGCCTTTATATAAAAGTTCTAATTCTAGCAACAACAAATGTTGGCGAGGATGTGGAGAAAAAGGAACTCTCCTGCACTGCTGGTGGAAATGCAAACTAGTACAACCACTATGGAAAACTGTTTGGAGGTTCCTCAAACTGCTAAACATGGAGCTTCCATATGACTCAGCAACCCCACTCCTAGGTATCTACCCAAAAGACACAAAAACACTGATTCAAAAAGATACCTGCACCCCCATATTTATTGGTGCATTATTTACAATTGGAAAGACATGAAATCAACCCAATGCCCAAAAGCAGATGACTGGATTAAAAAGATGTGGTACATATTCACAATGGAATATTACTCAGCAACCAAAAAAAAAATAAACACATGCCTTTTGCAGCAACATGAGCTGGAAAAGATCATGGTTAGTGAGATAAGCCAGAAAGAGAAAGAAAAATACCAGATGGTTTCACTCGTAGCAGGAGTATAAAGGACCAGGAAAAAAAAAAAAAAAAAAGCAATTGTAATAAAAAAAAAAAAATCTGAACAAGTATATACCAGAGATATTTTAAGGGGATTGAGGGGAGAATGGGGCCAAAAAGGAGGGGTGGGAGTGAACGGACTGTGGTGATGACACACGGGTGAATTGGTGGTGGGAAGCCCACAGGGATTACAGCTGAGGTGGAAAAAGACACAAACTGATGTAAAAATAAACTATTAAAAATAAACAAATAAATGTTCGACTCCCTCCAGCAAGCTTTGCAACGTGCCTGTAGCCCCCACCCCCACCCGTGCTCCTGTCCATCCCACCCCACCAAAAACTCACGCAAGTACACTGAGCCATGGGAGAGGAAAGTCATGCAAGTCTCACAGTTAAATGACTTTGAAAGCCCACACAGCTATGTGTAGAGCTCGCGCTTTGGGCCCCAATTCACAGTGCTGCTCTGGTAGCCAGATTTGGGGTGGTGAAGGGATAGTGGCTCTGACTTCAGGCATTACCTCCAGCCTGCGCCTCTCTGGTGGCACAGGGGTTGAGTATCAGCACCAGCAAGCTATCACTAGCATGTGTTCAATTCCCAGGCAGGGAGGTGAGCCACAGGGTGCAGCAGACATCTGCTGTCGTGCCCGCTGCTCCCCTCAGCAGTATATTTCAGTAGATCTGCCTGCTCTGCTCCCCATTCTATCTCTGGTGAATCCTCTCACCCTACCCCCAGCACCTCTGACCTAAACCCCAGCTCTAATATAGCATAAATAAATAAAATAAATCTTAAAATAAATACTCCCATCCCAAGATTCCTGAGTATTTCCTAGTTAACCTGGTGTTAGCCCAGATGCTACAGCATGCCACTCCAAGGCCCCAGCTCACCCTAGAGGCACCATAGGTGGGGACAGGGTGGCCTTCCAGGGAGCGTGGCTAATCACCTCTAGGCCAATTTGACAGTAATACCACAGTATGTTTTCAAGGCCCTTCAGAAAGATGCAGTACTCAGTGGGTAAACTGAAGGAAATTTTTGGTCTTTTCTTCAGCCTTGTATATAAAAATCAATCTTATGCTCTGAGTCCTGTCCAAGCGGAATTAGCCTGACAGATCTAGAAAAGGCACATCATGAACAGAAATAAAATATCCACCTCCCCCACAGCCCTCATCTCTTGTGTAAATTGGAAGAAGGGACTAAAACCTTCTAAAAGCTACATATATGCTCCCTACTACATCAATTCTCACCTAAGTTGGCAGATGAAGTGGCAGAATCTTCTGAAAGTTACACTTTCATACTTGAATCAGAGCGATTCAGAGATGATGAACCTCAGACTCAAGACCACCTCTTCTTGCTTCCTTAGTGGCGGGGGGTGAGAGGATTCACCAGAGACAGAGTGGGGAGCAGAACAAGCAGGTCCACTGAAATACACCTCTGAGGGGAGCAGCAGGCAGGTCAGGTGAGGTCTGCTGCGCCGTGTGGTCTATGGGTCCACATGAACTCGAGCTGCAGCGGCTGCAGACAGTGCTACGCTTCAAACCGTGGCACCACCAGGGAGGGCCCACCAAACTACTTGTTCTCAAGAGGAAGATTCTGGCTCACTCCTGCAAACAGATGCCAGAGGCCTGGTACATCACAGCATCTCAGAAAAAGTTTGTCCAATAACTATCAATTGTAGTTGAATAAACAATTCTACTCTTTACCATTTTGCCAGTGAAAAGGAAAGGAATAAAAGAAGTTTAGGAGTTAGGTACTTAACCAGAGGACAAAGTTAAACCTCACTAGTAAATGTATGGAGTTACTTTGTAACTGTTATTTCTAGGGTATTTCTTAGCCTGAGGGTCTGGAGAGCACTTTGTATATTTGATGAAAAATATCTGTGGGTTCTGAGCATGTGCGCTTTGGCCACATGTGTGCAGGGAGAGTCTTGTGTGGAAGAACGTCCCTCAGCTGCAGACCCAGAGGATGTGGGCACTGGTGTGTGGTGTGAGATCCAAAACAGAAGCCAACTGTGGGCACGGAGTGACCAAGGTGCCTCAGTGTTGCCACCAAGCAAGTGGCTGCCCAGCTCTGAGGGCTTCCAAAGTCCACACACCTGTCTAGAAAGCAGTGTATGGCCCGAGCTTCTGAGAATGAACCCCGTCCCCACTTACCTTGGTTTTCTCCAAGTGGCTCCGAGGAAGGTCTGTGAAACAATGCCAAGCTTGCTCAAAAAGCACCACGCTGAGACTAACAGGTTATGTGGCTTCCTGTGTCATCTCTATCCTCACTTATTCAGATATTTTGTTTAAAAGTAAAACACCTCTTAGTCACTCATTACCCAAAATTGAAAGTGAAGAGTTTGCTAGATTAAGGAGGAAAATTAAGTCCGTTTTTCAAAAGAAAAACTTACTTTTAAAAAATTTATTTGTTGGATTTTTCAAGCATATGAAAAAATGTTCAACATCACTTGTAATAAGGGAGATGCAAATTAAAACCACAATGAGATACCACCTCATCCCAGTGAGAATGGCACATCTTCAACAACTAGCAACAACAAATGTTGGCAAGGATGTGGAGAAAAAGGAACTCTCCTGCACTGCTGGTGGGAATGCAAACTAGTACAACCACTATGGAAAACTGTTTGGAGGTTCCTCAAATTGCTAAACATGGAGCTTCCCTATGACCCAGCAATCCCACTCCTAGGTATCTACCCGAAATACACAAAAACACTGACTGAAAAAGATACCTGTACCCCCATGTTTATTGCTGCTTTATTTACAATTGGAAAAACATGGAAGCAGCCTAAATGCCCAAAAGTAGATGACTGGATAAAAAAGATGTGGTACATATCTACAATGGAATATGACTCAGCAACCAAAAAAGAGAAACACATGTCTTTTGCAGCAACTTGGATGGAGCTGGAAAAGATCATGCTTAGTGAGATAAGCCAGAAAAAGAAAAATACCGGATGGCTTCACTCATAACAGGAGTATAATGGACCAGGTGAGAAAATAACAAAAATAATGAACAACCATATACCAGAGACATTTTGAGGGGTAGAGTGGGGACTGGGATCAAAAACGGGGTGGGGGGAGGGAAATGCATGGGAATATGGTGATGGCACACGGGTGACTTGGTGATGGGAAACCTGCGGGGATTACAATTGAGATGGAAAAAAAAATGTACAAAATGATGTAAAAATAAACTTAAAAAAATTTATTTGTTGGATTTTTTAAAAAAATTTATTTATTTATTCATACAGAACTGGAGTACAGGTCAGAGATGCAGACGGTGAGAGGCTTCACCAGAGACAGAGCGGGGAGCAGAACAGGCAGATCAACGAAGTTGAGGGGAGCAGCGGGCGGGTCAGGAGAGGTCTGCCGCGCCATGTGGTCACCTCTGGGGCAGGCTGGGATCTGAACTCATGCAGAAGTGGCTTTAGCTTCTTAGTGCTGTGCTTTAACCCGCTGCGCCACCAGGGAGGGCCTATTTGTTGGATTTTTAATTAGAAAACATTTCCTTTTAGCTGTTAGATGCAGTCGAAATGATCTTTATATTTTGCATCAGGTGAGCTGTTTGTGATGTTCAGTGCATCCATGTGTGATGTTCTACAAACAAGTGGGATCTGACGCAGTCAGCGAGGCTAAACTACTCGAGAAAATGGGTATTCATAGTAGAAGAGAAAAATGTACCCAAATGTGTGCTTCGGACTGACTTAGAAGACTTTGGTCAACCACGTTGAATGATTGACTTGTCCTCAGTCCTGTGTAAGGTGACATGATATTAGTCAAGATTCCTTTTGCAACAGGAAGATGCCTTCTCCAAACCCCTTCTCCTTAGAAGCCATGCAATTTCCACTTGATATTGAATGTGCCTGACAGAGTCCCTTGGGTTTGAGTAGCCAAGTCCCTTGGGTTGTCAGAGCCAAGGTTCTGACGCAGACCTAAGTCTTCTTTTGCTAGGGGCCTCCTTGGTGGCACAGGCTCTGCACTACCATGCTATCAGCAGTCACTGCAGCACCA